CTCTGTTGACAGGCCCTCTTCCTTTTCCTCTATAATTTGACAGCAGAGCTGAAGATACTTAGTGGCAATATGTGGGGAAAAGCACTTTATTGGATGCTTATTTAAACTTGCATCTGATGTAGAAAGAGCAGTGTGCAGTGTGCGTGGGGTGTGAACAGTTAGAGAGCAGTGTTCTTTACATTAAGGCCTAAATATAGATGTCGTATCTCTGGTCTTCATCAGCACTTTCACTCTTTCGTGGCTCAGTCGAGCATGGCGTGCAAATGATCGATGCAGTAAAATAAGCAGGACACTTGCATGCGTGCATTTAGAACGTGAGAATGATGCTACAGTTTGATTTCAGCATGCTCTATCTTGTGCAACAACCAAAGGGAAAAAACTTGCTCTCTTTTTCCCTGACCACAGCTTTGATGACGTCAGATACAGTGCAGCCAATGGACAGCTGCAGCGGCCGTTACCCTCAATCTCATGTCGTAACTGGCTCGAAAAGAGGAAAATCTCCACTTTGAAACTAAATTCAGTCTCTCTAATGACGCAGACTTTCAGAGAGAAGCTGCACAAAAGAGCCAATCTCCTTTCAGCTTTGACAGCTGATGGTATTTCTCCTCTGTGGGCTCAGCAGGGGAAGAATCACGACTCTATCGGTTAATCGATATCATCGCAGCTAATGCCAAATTGTATTGAGCAGAACATCCTACGTCCTTTTTGTCCCCACTGTGCATGTTAATATAATTTTCCTTCCACCAAAATGAAACCATTGTTCCAACTTATTTTGACAAAGTTTGTATAATGTGAACTGGGAAAACGTTAATGCTGTTCTTATTCTGCTGCTAGGGAAAACTTGGTCCTTTGTTGCTCAAGAAATCTTGACTTATTCTAACTTTATATTTCAGGATTTTTCCTGAAATATTTCAAAGAACAGCAGAATTTTTGCTGGCAATAAAAACTTTACAGAAACTGAGCTGTGCTTCCACTGATGTTTGAATGCCTGCAGGCTAAAGGATTCACTACTTCAGAAATTGGTCCAATACTGTTTCAAATAACTGAATCAAATATATGTGACATTGAGCCAATTTGGGTTGGCTCAAAATTTGACGAGATGTTGCCAGTTCCAGTAGCAGGAATCCCTCTCTTCTAGCTTTTTCTTTGTGTGGGAATTTGCATTTTGGGGAAAAGCCACATTTTGGCTGGGTCACCAGTGAACATTTCTATGCTTCTCTCAAACTGAGTTGTTGTCACTTCAGAAGTCATCAGACTTTTCCTCTAACTACACGGTCACCATTTCTGCAGCTCCAACACTCTACGACTACTTTCACTGTTTGTGACTAAACAGCTGCTCCCCTCAGCTTTGTTGCGTGCTGCTAAATAGCATTAGCATGCTACACTAGAATCCTCGTGTTCTCATTGGCGTTTAGCTCAAAGCACCACAGTTAGCTTGGCTGTGTTGACTTAATCTTCTTTTGTTTGAGCGGAGCAGCTTTAATCCACTATGAACGATTTCTGGGGCTTAAATGACTGAACATCGGCCGTATGTGAGGACTTGATGTTCTTGTAGTAACTTTAGCATCACTGCTCTTGTTCCTGTGGTAGCAGATCTTTAGGGTTGCCTGGCAGAGGTCAGGGATTCCTAAAGATGGTCGCTGATACTCGCCCACGTAACGTAGTTCGATATGAGCTCCTCAGAATAGGGAAGCCCTCTGTCGATATTTATGTAAAGGAGAGAAACTTTGACATTATCAGACTGCGGATGTCTGTTCTGCAGTCACTTGCAGTGTTTTCTGTGCAGCGGAGATAATGATGTTAGGGTGGAGAATGAAGTACATTTATCATTCACATTTGATACGGTTAATGCATTCAGACCTTTTCCAGTGGGACAACACATTTAGTGGATGTAGGAAGCTATCATTAGGGGTTACCATCATGCTATTTATAGACCTGTTTTGCATTCAGGGTTAGTGGATGGAGCCGAATCCTTCAGCTAGTACACGCCTCACCACACTGCCTCCATACTCCTTTCTCCTTCACCCCCGTGCTCCTCCTCAATCGATGGGTGACTGTAAGCTGTGTGCTCGGAGGTGTGTCTGCTTGTCTGCATGCTAATGGTGTTTTAGTAGCAGGCCAGCAGTGAGCTTATCTACATGAGAATGTGTGGGGGCTTGATGCCTGCATGCTACATCAAGGTCCCACTGATTGCATAATAGTTATTCTTGGTCAATTTTGACAGACACTTGCACATTACCTTGTAACGCACTTGTTTTCAAGGAGTCTTCATGAGTCAAGTCGCCATGGTAACTGCTGAAAACTTTGTTGTGTTTGTAGTTTTCACAAGTCAGCCTGGATTCTGGCTTGTTAACACTGCTTAACACACTCAGATGTGATGTTTACTGGGGGTTTTAATGATCTGGCCTGTAATTTGTTAATGGACTCAGAGCAAGGGGGAGGGGGGGGGGGCAGCTCGGACTGTGAGATCCTTTATCGGCAGATTGTTTGCAGTGCAGAAAGAAAGACGGACTGTTTCCTGCTTTGCTTCCTGATGCTCTGAACACAGAGAGCATCTCACTGTTGCTGTTGTTGGCAACTGTCTCCAGGAAGTGTCTCCCTTCTTCTAGGCACTGCTCAGTTTTTCTGTTCTGCATAAACAGCCTCTTTTATTCATTGTCTGGGCTGGGAGAAGGGAGGAGGAGGTGGGGAGGTGCTGTGGGGACATGAGGAGAGAGGTGAAGTCAGTATTCAGGAATGTGCCTGGGCAAGCCTCGCGTTGACAGAGCCCGGATGACTGGGAGGGAATCCTTGGCAGAGGGAAGCCGGGGAACCCCGTTCAACACCTCCATCTCTTTTCCTCGCTGTATCCCCCACCCTCGTGTCTGTCTCGTCCTTTCAGTCAGCCCGTCTTTGTCTCATGCAGTCGGGTCACAGCCAGCCTGTCTGCCATAAAAACATTATACAACCGGGGAGGCACAGTTATGGGGAAAGAGGCTTATGTCACACTGGTGGAGCATGGAAAACAGCAGAACCCACTTCTCCACATTTCTGCTGCTGCTGGCAGAGTGCACTCAGAAAACCCTTCAGATGGCAGGTTAGAAAAGCTATTCACAGTGACTCATCAGCTATTAATACACAGTCTGAGGAGGGTGTTTTGTGGAGCGGAGAGAGCTGACCACAGTGTGAGGGTCAACCCCCGCAAGATGGTTGTTTTCTAATACAGAAATGCTAACAGATCAGCTGCATGTTTGACCTTATCAAACCTTATCAAGTGGACATTGAAGTGGTGGCCTGTGTGTAGTTTTATTAAAGTAAATAAAGGAGCCTTTTCATCTAATTTGGCATGCTCCCCGGTTGCTTTTAGCATCTCTTCTCCACCTAAAAACACAGTTTATTTCTCTCTGCGCCAGCGAGTGGAAGGAGTGCCGAGGCCTCGTGTCACGGCCTCTTTCCAGTTCCTCTCTACACATTAGACACACGTGTTGCACAGTGTGGTCAGAGCATGCAGAGAAACACGGGGTTTCCACTGCTTAAAGGAGAATGCTGCTATTATTGAGAGCTGCAGCCCACTGCCTTCTAAGTATAGCTGCTTTTCCACAGTCATTCTGTAATGAGGGCTGTAATTCAAGCTTTTACTTATTTTATATGCAGAAAAAGCTTCACTTAAAAGGAGTGGATTAAAGAATAATATTTTTTTGATTCCCTTAGTCGGTAAGAAAACACGCACACTCTCCTGGAAAGAATTCATAACTAATCCCGCCGAAGCAAACGCGTCCAGTGATGCATCCTCAGGTCGTTTGCTACGTCCGACCTGTTCAGTCGTAACTTTGCACTGGACCCGATATGGGCCCGACAAACACGGCGACTATGCTTTTGTCTCATTGTGGTGACACTGATCAACAGTGCTTGTCAATTGGAGCATTTTTAGAACATGACTGATGTGTTTTCTACTCTTGCCGCTGACTCATGTACGTGGGGGGATGTCGGAATGCCAAAAAACAAACAATTTCTCCTTTGAAATGTTGATTAAGCCTGAAAATGACAAGAAAATGTTACAGAACGGAGCAACGTGCTGAAATCTTGGTGATTGTTTTTGTGGGATATTAGCTCGTGGATGAACAAAAGGGTTTGGTGCAGTAAACAGAATGTGCACCAGTGCTGAGAGCAACCCGTTGCCTTGATAAACTAACACAGATTACCTTTATTATAAAGCTAATCTTATTTCTGAACTGAAGTGGCTCATTGGATAGATTCGTTATAATTGCAATCACTCTGTCTAATCTAACTTACACTAGCATCGGGAGCTTTGCTGCCGCGCTCAGAAACAGCATGGAAGCTGCAGGGATTCATGAGGTTGGACGTTTATAACAAAGTTAGTTAAAAAATTTAGTTTAGTTTTGAGCAAAAAAAGTGTCTCCCATATACGACTGTCAGCTTACTGAATAACCTGTTTGCAATCAGCAGTGACTTGATAATGAGGTCAGTCAGAGGTCGCCCGGGCCTTCAGAAATATCTGATTAACAGGCGGTGGGTATGGGTTTCCAAAAGAATATCAACTGAAGTTTTATAACTTGGCTTTTCAGTCTTAGTGAAGAAACGCTCGTCATGAAACATCTGTGAGGTGGCGAGACTGAGTCTGGTTAGCCGTTACATCACCACGAGCAGTCAAAGGTGATTGGTGGTCTGTGGTTCGCTGTGCAAAACATCCCGAGCTGCACTTCCATGAGTGGCTGATCCTAGAATTGGACTTGCAGGTCATCACAACAGTAGACGTGTGATTGCGTCCTGTAGTCCTCGGCTTGGAAAAACAACGGCGTCGCTGTCCTGCCTCACTGCGCGGAGCGTTTAATCATCGTAACCAAGCGGAACAATTCAACAGAGCAATTTGTGCGTGTCCGTGCATCTTAAAGTCACACTGAGGTAATCAAACGTATTAACTGCTCTCTTCTTGTTTTTCTCCTCCGCCTCGGCCCTGCCGATTCGACTCTTCTACGACCTGCACCGCGTGACATCCACAGAGCTCCCAGCTGAAGAAGGTAAATATTGATTTTTGCACTGAGCTGTGATCCTCCTCTCTGTGCTTAATGAAGTATCCTGAGCCGGGATCTTTTCTTTCTTTCTTGTTGTTGACTGAGGGGTAATCTTGGCAGTGTCCACTATAGCAGCTACCCACCCATGGACACACAACACTGTAGATACAGCATTGGTCTTGTTTTATCAGTATTAGAGAGCTAATGTCAACACGTCTTTCCAGGACACACGTCTTTACAGCGAGAGCCTTCAACGTTAAATCAAGTGTGATGCATCGAGGTGTGCAATGTGTACTTAAACATTTCAGGCAAGTCCCTGTGGGAGTTGGTGGTGGAGCAGTTTGAAGACCTCTTGGTGAGGATCCTGCTGCTGGCTGCCTGCGTCTCCTTTGTAAGTATGACCCTGCTAATTAAAATGTGTCAGTCTCCATTTTCAGATGTACCGCTCGGGGATCTGAGACCCTAACTGTCCAGGAAGTCGCCACCTAATAGACTGCACTGTTATTCCCCTGTTAGGATTCTGGTTACCCAGTTTGTGTGGAAACGTGTCTGTCGCAGGCTTTTCCACCCAGTGCTGATATGCGTTCAGTGCAGTCTCCTTGCTTGTGCCAAACTGGAAACAAAACTCTCAATCAAAGCTCCCGTTCCCTCAGACTGTGACCCCGGTTGCAGTTTGAGGGAGGTGAAGGTCAGAGAGGGGTGGAGTGGTGCAATCCTCACTGCATAATAACTTTTTCCATCTATTACAGCACAGCACTGGTGACTTGGGATGGAATTGCTCTAGCTGTTTCTGAAAGTAGGAAAACGGCACAAAAACCGACCCAATCTATCTTTTACTGTTTCTTCTGTTAGTGACAAACGCGGAGTGCAGGCGTGGGCTTTGGTGCCATGACTTTGAAGCATGGCTTAAATTTCCTCATGCAAATCAGGCTTTCCTTACTTTTACCAGATTGTTTATAGTGGAACCTGCTCCACTGCTACACTACCCGAACACTTTACAGTGTCACCGTTGCCTGGAGTGGTGTCAGCTCAGAAACTCAAGTTTCCTTGTGACCTGATTCAACTTGAAATCCAAAGTCATCCAGCCCAGAGAGTTGACTTTATTAGAACTCTTATTTCACAGCTATTTTGCTGTTTTGTTGCTGTTTTGAATGTTTCCACTACAACCAGGGTGTGGCTGATTCTCAGTGGACTGAACTTGAGCCCTAATCTCGGACTTATTTGTCTGCTAATTTCAATATATTCAAATTGACAGTATTAGATTCCCTGGTTCCTTTCCATGACGCACCAGTGGGAAACTGGGCAAGTTGGGACATTTTATAAAATATGCTATTAATGTACAGCAAATAAATGAGGAACTGAATTCACAAACAGTTAGTTATGCACCAGCTTACAGTTAGACTGTGCAAAAGCCTCATTTCTTTAGACTGTGCTTGGAGAATGGGTGCAGCAGTTTATTGAACTGTGCAAACAGGCATGGAACAGCTGGAAAGTCAATATTTGGTGTGTGCGTCTTTATTCTTGAACAGCCTGAACTCTTGAAGTGTTCTTGTACTTTTCTCTGGGTCTCTTGAAGGCTCTTCTTTGGATCTCGGCTGCTTTTTCTTCTTTTCTCTGTCAAGATGAAAACTGAAAACTGCATCTGGATCCAACACCACTGCTGCCCCAAACCCTGACGCAGCCTCCACCATGTAGATATCGACTCCCTGTCGGACGATTGACATTGACGATGATTTCAGCCCAAAAAATGTAAACTTGGATCCGTGGCTCCATCAGACGTTGCCACTGATTCTCAGCTCAGTTCCTGTGTGACGTGGCATACCTCAGCCTTTTCCCCTTCCTTATAAAATGCTTCGTGACATCCACCCTTCCACTGATGCCGTTCCCGATGAGGCTTCAGTGAACAGTAGGTGGATCAACTGAAGATGCATTTTTCCTGTTTATCCATTTCTCAAGGACGTGACTTTCACATACTGTTCATCTGATGGATGTTAGGCAGAGAGATGTAGCCTGATATTAGGATACATCAAATGTGCGATAACGATGTTTCTGTGGAAGTTAAGAAAGTATTGTTTGATGCTTGCACACATCAGCATTTGTAAGTGGAAGTGAGCGAAGGTCATTTCCATCTTTCTTTTCCAGTGAGCTTCACTGTGTCAGTGATGACACGCTTCCTGTTTTGCAGTGTGTGTGTATTGAAATGAGGTGGCAGCAGCACCACGGTAGTGTAATAGTAGTGACTCAGCATTATGTCACAGTGCCCGTCAGCACAAAGGCAGCTGGGGGCACATTTAAAGTAAAAGCAGCAGATATCTGTTAAAGTAACTGAACCCTGTGACTCCTCAGGAGCTGCGCAGTACTGTCACACAACAAAGCTGAAAATGTTTTCTCCGTCTGGGCTGAGCTTTTTAACCAGCTGCCCGAAGCCCTGCTTTTCCACTATGCAACCACTTCAGTGCTTTCCATCCACCGTTTGCTCTTCCTGTCATGTGGAGAGCGATGTGTGGGTCACGCATCACCAGGTTCCACACGGCTCCCGCGGCTCTCAGACACGCCCGGGCTCGTCTTGGAACATAAACGCATCCTGTTGATGATATCGCAATAATATAGTGATATGACATTTTTCTGTCGTGGACGGTACGGCACAGCCCTCCCTGCCACCTCTTCTTTTGTCTTGCACTCACCCGGCACACTGCACAGCATGCCGAGGAAATTACTTTATTCCTGACTGGACTGAAAATGAGCGGAAAGGCAGACAAAGGAAACTATGAACGACCCTCAGACAAAGTCTGGCTCATTGGAAGCACAATATAAAGAAAGGAGGTGACGCGCAGAAGGCCACACTACACGACGTTCCATGAGTTCTCCTTTCTGATCAATATGATTTATGAATAAGGCTTTTCTGAAACTCTGTGGCATGTCGCTGTGTGTGTGGGATCTGAGGAACGCGAGCTGTATGCTGATGTTGGTGATGGAGCATGAGTTTCCAAACCCATCAGTGAAACTGAGCTTAATTTTGTCTGAGACTGCCAAATGCATGCAGTGAAATTTCCACCAGAATCCCTCAATAAGTTCAAAAAGCCAAAGAAATCTCCAGCTTTTGAACTCCTGCTCGCCGTGAAGGTGGGCGTTGGTACTCGGTCCGCTCTCTGAACGCGTCCTGGTTTTTTGAGCCATCCATACTCGGAGGACTGACATTGGTGCCCTCCACTCTCCGCTCAGACAGGAGGGAGATTTACCGTCCCACACGATGGGGAATGATGAGCTATCGACCGAGCTCAGGCTGCCGTGACGTATACGCTGGCTCTTAATACTCTGCAGAGAAAATTGTCCTCTGTCTTTGAGAAGTCCCATCAGATAATCGAAAAATAGATCCACTTTACCCACTGCTGTCTGTGCTGCTCTCTGCTGCAGTCATTTTAGTTTCTACTCTCACCAGTGATAAAATAATGTGAAAACTATTCTCTGTTCCTCTGGGGTATCTTATTGTGTTATTATTTTATAATGAACCATAAAGGCACGATGTAGTCTAGAAACAAACTGGACATACAGTGCATGTGTAAAGACAGCTTTAGGCAAAAACCTACAGCTCAGCTGTTGGGTGACTGTGCTTTTGCCACAATAAACTATATCTGGTAAAAAACGATCACAAATATCAGAGTGCAGGGATGTTTTTCATGCTTAAGCTGCCTGACGCACACAGACGTGTCTTTAAAGACTAATAGATACTGAGTGGTACTAAATGATAAGTTTAGTTTTTTCAAAGTTTCTACAAAGTTAAATATGTGTTTATTAGTGGATAATTGTTTCCCGTGACCACTGATGTGAAGGGCAGCCTGTTTAAGAGTCTTTATCATTTTATAGTTTCAGCTGTTTGAATAATAATAATGAAAATTTCACAGTTTGAGACAAAGATATAAACCATGTTCTAAGTCTGCATTCATCAGGGAGCTGTGGACTGGACGTCGTGTGATGTTGGTAGGCATTTGTAAAATGTCACACAGGTAAATGAGCAAACTATGTTTTCATAAACACAGTTCAGTCGCAGATATGCTGTGAATACAACACTAGGTTAAAAAAACACAGCTTTGACTTCATCCAGTTTGTTCTTTGTAATCCTAATCATTGAAATTACTCAGTGATCTCATAATTTATTGAGTTTTTATCACCCTTGCTTGTCATACATCATAATTATGCTCTGGGCAAGGCAGCTACATGTTTTTGCCATTACTCGGTGTGCACAACTTACCCTTCATTTGATGTAATCTTGGACTTGCAAAACCTGCAGAGTGAAGTGAAGAGCACAGTCTTCTGAGAAATGCACACGAGAGTAATTACAATCATGAATCCACACAGATATTGTTTAAAAAAGTAAAGAAGACAGCTTTTTCTGCCGGGTGTGAGAAATATTAGCTTTTCCCGTGATTTCATTGCACTGTGCTGTACCTCGCTGTTGCAGTCATTTGCAGCTTCTAACTGCAGAGAAACAGGCTTGAACCCTCGGGCCATTTCCCAGCCTCTCTGCTTTCAGTGCCTCGGTTGTTAATAGTACAGGCGGTGAGCAGCCCTCTCCTTTCCTGACTTCAGATACACTGGAGGTCAGAATATTACTGCAGTCACATAAAATAAAAATACAGAGGAAATATCCTTACTTTTAGTATCATTAACTTTCATAAAAGGTTTTATGGAAGTGAGTTTGATGTGGCTTTGATGGGCGTGTTTATCGAGTCTACAAGATTTTCAACTGCTTTCAAAAAAGTATCGTAGTCATGCCTTCAATGATTTTCCTAAATACTGCCTCTGGCATCTGCCCTTCATACATCATAGTAATGAAAAAGACTCAAACACTGAAATTATTAAAAACCAAACTAAAGCTAAACTGAAACAAGAAAATCCACTCTGGAAACTAACGGATGCTAAGTCCATATGAAATGACATAAAAATACCAGTGGCTGAGTTACCACAAACTTAAGTGTCCACGTCGCAGACCTGCCTGCCCGGCGAGGTCCTTTATTGGCTGAGGGGTCAAAACTCATCATTTACACATCAGACTGACTCTGTAGCTGTGTACGTATTAGCCAAAATGAATGTTCAAACTGTTAATAAAAAGGATTGCCATGGCACAAAATAATTGAAGGATTGAAACAATTTGTAGTTCAAATAACTGGATAAAGTGAGCTAGTTGATAGCTGGTTAAAGTAATAAACCAGTAGAAGATGATTAACTAGCTAAACTTTTAAGGTAAATAGCTAAATGTGAAACTCAAAGTAGCGGATAAATATTTTGAGTGGTGGTTTGGTCTATTTCAAAGACATGAGATTGAATTTCCAAGTTAGGAATCTCGTGTGAATGTAAACTTGCAGTGAGCGTGAGTTTATCTTGTAGGACTGTCTAAGGAACCTGAAACCAAAAGATGCTAAAGGCTACACAAGCTAACCTTTAAGTGATGACGTGATGAATCCTGCTTCCGGGCCCAAACTACTCTGCATTTATTAAGTCTGTTGTGTGTTTAACATGTTTTAATGCTTTGTATCTTGTTCTATTTAATCTCAACAAGCCTCTAAAAACAGTCAGTGATCACTGTCGGCCTCTCTCGGTTTTTATTACTGCTGTTCATTTTAAAGCTCAGTTTTTAAATCCTTACGATGTAACTGCAGCCCATGCAGCAGTATATTAATGACTAACCTCGTATTGTGGATGGATTATCTCAGTTGTTCTCCTGACTGAAGTTTGGTCCGTTTACAGCATCCTGCCATGCGATTGCATTTGTCTCTAACCATCAGGAACCCTCACGTTAACTTTTATCCAGTGGAAAAAAAGTTAGCATTCATCCTCCAGCTTCACTGTGTTTATGCTAACATAGCTGTGTTGCTAGCGATCACGCAGCACATCATTTTAAACCAGCTAGCCCAACTTCAGTAACCCTACAAACGTCACTGCTGTTTAGTTTTCTGTCTTCATTTATGTTGGAAGTGATAGCAGAGCTGTACGTTTGAATTTGTTTCAGAAGTCTCTCTGTCAAAACATGCTATATTATGTTTAGATGGAAGCTAGCGAGCTAACTTCCTGCTAACTTCTAACTTAAATGTAATAAATTCTGTTTTCATGGATGCCTGGATGTTAAACTTAATTGTTACACCTGGTAAAGCAGCAACACTGATGATTTTATTAAAGATGAAAGAATTTAGACAGTTTTTAACTCTCAGTGATGCTGCAGTGATCGCTTGACTTATGGACCTGCAGCAGATTTTGGACCCGGAAACGGCTAATGACGTCAGACTTAAAGACAGGATAGCACAGGCCCACTCAAACAGTGACAGCTGCTTTGTTCAAATACTGCTTCGTTTTATTTGTCCTGATTTTATGATTTTGTCGTACCGAGCTTCTTCTGAAAATGTACGCGAGCTAACATAGGTTTTAAAGAGTGCTAGTTTATTATGTTGGCTAAGCTAATTTGTACTGTATGTTCGTATAGGTGTTAGCTCTGTTTGAAGAAGGAGAGGAGACAACCACCGCCTTCGTAGAGCCGATTGTTATTCTTCTTATCCTCATCGCCAATGCTGTTATTGGGGTCTGGCAGGTGAGATGTGTTCTTCGTCCTGTGTCTCTTTTCAGAGTGTTCATTCGATTTGGTCTTCACACACACAGGCTAACAAAGGCTAGTAGTAGTTGATAAACATGCAGCTGTTGCAGAATTCACACACGTGTGTGTGTGTGTGTGTGTATATATATATATGTATATATGTATATATGTATATATATATAGATAGATAGATAGATATAGAGATAGAGAGATAGATATAGAGATAGAGAGATAGATATAGAGATAGAGAGATAGATATAGATATATTAGTACTAATCAAACTGACACCATAGTGACACGTGTTAGCATCCATATAGCACACTGCAGAGGGATCAGGCTGTTCATCAACATAAACAAACCACAGAGCCCATGCAAAACACCAACACATTAGGAGATATCATCTTTGCAATGAGCAGAGTTTGCTCACTGAACATCACGTCAAATCAAAAGGACATCAAATTGTTCTTGCAATTAACTTTTTTCTTTTCTTTTCCGTATCTCACAGGAACGGAATGCCGAGAATGCCATTGAGGCTCTGAAGGAGTACGAACCTGAGATGGGAAAGGTGTATCGCATGAACCGCAAGGCGGTCCAGAGGATCAAAGCCAGAGACATCGTCCCAGGAGATATAGTGGAGGTGGCAGGTTAGCTGCGGCTGCACCGGGCCGAACTCTTACTGTCACTCACTCGGGCTAATTTATGCTTGGCTTGTCTCACCTAGCTGCTTTTATGCTCTCCTTAACACATTCGCACACACAGACGCACACTCGCACAACCTTTGTGAGCGTGGAAACACTCAATGCAGATTACATAAGAGTCTTTTCTCTGGATGTGGAGGTGCCAGGGCTGCTGTCCAGTGTCTGTTTGTGTGTGCATGTGTTTGGTTCTTTGCAAGTGGCTGTGGTCACTCCTTATATTTAAGGCCCAGTTGAATTTTCCACAACTTTCCGCTTCCCCTTTGCTTTCCATGCTCTCAGTCTCACCACCTGGAGGCTGCCTGATGTTTGTCAGCTCCTCGCTTACACACAATATTCCCCTGCTGTAAACTCGCCCATGTGTGGGCAGCCTCTGATTAAAAATAGCCGCATTGTCGCTCTGGCTCCCAAACATCTGTGAATGCCAGAGCTGAACTGCAAACGCAGGATGGAGGAGACCGCTTTGCCACCGACGTGGCCGTTTTGGGTCGGAGGGGGGTGGTGGTGGTAATCCTGAGCTTTGCGTGACTGGCGATTTATCTCAGGCGGCTCGGAGCAATGTGTGGGAAAGGAAGGAGCTGGCAGCCTTCATTCAGAAGCGCAGAGAGATTATACGTGCTGTGCTGGTGGCAGCGAAGCCTCGGATTTCAACGCGAGGTTGTAAAACTGAGGCGAAATCAATCATCCGTTTGCTTAACTGTCACCCACAGCCACACTACAGTTCACATTCTCTTTAAACAAATGTTCTCTTTCTTTTCCATGTCTTATTTACCGGTTGCACTTATTTAGCGTGCTGTTTTTGTAACTCATAGCAGTTGCTTGGAATTTGGGCTTGTTGCAGCCAGCGTCCTCGCAGCCAGACGCAGGCAAGCCCACACAGGTAGCAAGGACCGCAATGACTCCGCTTAGCTCCCGCCTACCGCCACTACCATCACCGTCACTGTCAACACCAACAGTGTCGCCATGACAACCCCCCCGCTCAGTTCCACTCATCTCCACGGTGCTCAAGTTCACAAGAGCTTGAGGTTTTAACGACACCTGTTGATGACAGCGTGAAGCAGGGAGAGATGTGACTCCCATCTGCTGTTTGAATAAAGCCTCTGATATTATTGCTGAGTGTCAGCAGCTCCCATAAAGGAGGGGGGGGGCACGCTGCGACTCAGAGGAGCTTGCTTTGTTGTTGTTGTTTGTTTTAATCTTCCGTGTTATCTGTACTATTTTTAGGCTGACTGTTTAGTAACTGCAAACAAACACGGTGGACAAAAACGTTTTTCTTTAATTGTCGGTGGGTCAAATAAAATCAAATGTGCTCTGACGAACTCTGATGTTCTGGTGAGTGAAGGCGCCTACAGTGAGGGCGGCGCCTGTGAGTGTTTCATTACAGATGTGCCCCAAAGCACGTCAGCTGATTGGATAAGCAGACGGACGCGTACATAAAGTGTCTGATCTAAACACATAGAAGTTTATAGGGAAAATTCAAATATATGTTTAAGAACCATATAAGGTTTAAAATGTTCACGGGTTACAGTAACTTGTCTCAAGTATCAAATACATTTCCAGAGCACTGGTTAACTGGGTGTAACTAGTGGTTTGTTAAACATACACATTCATACATTCAGTGCTTTGTTTTTTTTTGACATAATGTTGTTGCTAGGCAGCTGAGGTAGGCAGGGCAGCACGCTCTCTTTAGAAAGGATGCTTGTTGGGGATCGCTCCAAAGGAAGCATGTCGGGATATTTCATCCCGTTCTCCAGTGAGTTTTCTCAGGCTTTCCTGGACTTTGTATCAGCCAGCGGTTATTCCATGCTAGCTTAATGCGAGGGGCTGAAGTAAACTGTATGAAGGTATTGGAAAAAGACGCTGTAGACCACAAGTGCCTTTGAGGAGAGAAAAGAGCATAAATGTATTTACTCAGGTTTCCACTGCCGGTGCCCGCCTGCCCTCTTGCTCCCTGCTGCCAGTGCCAGCCACGGTTACAGCACATTTGTGATTTGCGCCTCCACTGGAACTTTCCTCTTTCTTTGACTTAACTGCCGCGGTCAGGTTGTCAGGAACTCCAGGATTTACAGACAACCCGAAGAAAAGGAAACCTGCAACCAGCCATTCCCAGTAACAAGTCACGGTTATCCTGCATGTCACCAGGATGTTATGCAAGAACACCGCCTCAGAGCTGCATGTGTTGGATTCAGATTTATTAAGACGGCTAACGATAAAAGCCAGACAAATATCAGATTTTTATAATGTATAAAAGCCGTATTAGGATTTACATTTCTAGCACATGGAAAGTGTCTGTGGGAGGCTGTGGCAGTGAGGGGAGCAGGAGTCTGTGGGTGGGCGTTTGAAAAGTCTCTCTTTTCCTGCCCTCGGCCACCTGTAGCCCCCAGCCATCTCCCACACAAACACAACAACACACACGCTCTCCCACTCGCGTTCTCTCTGAGCCGTGTCGGAGGTGGAGAAAGGTACCTCCGTCCCATCGAGATGAAGGCCATCACCTCAGGTGTCAGAGCGCTGAACAAATGTCATGAAGAGATGATGGAAAAAAGCTCCAGAATTGCGAGACCACTCTCACGTGTAAGCGTGCTCGTACAACAGCAGTGCCGCTGCCTGGCGAGGAAAAGCAGGAGTTTTGGTGCCGTTACGTTGAGAAGTCGTGATAGCTGAGCACTCTGAGCTGGCATTAATGAGTCACTTATTACACAAAGTAATGAGCAGCTCCTTCTCTTCTTCTCTCCTGCTGGAAGGAAACAACTGAAGAATATTACATCTGTCTAGAGTATTTGGAGCAGCTTCCCACTCCTGTGCGCTGACATCATTGTCACTGACTGCATCAGACGATCCATTAATCACAAGTCTGCCCTGTTATTATGAAAATATTTCCGTTAAATGTTCATTGTCAGGCCCTGACACAGAGGAAGTAATAACCATTTTGTTTTGGCTATGAATTATGAGTTTAATATGCAGGCTTAATAAGCAGACTCGAGACCGTTGGCGATGGAATTAATTTGAGCCTTTAACGCAGGGTTCAGGTGTGGTTTGTGTTAGAGGAACAGAGAGGACACAGAAGGAAATAATCAATCATTTTACGCGACTCCATCAAGGTTGTATCGAGCTGTTGTTTACCTGCAGCCCGAGCCTGGACTGAACCCACCGATGCTTCAGGATTTATTGTTTCAGCACGGACGTTAAATAGGGATGTAACTGAGTGCCCATCTGCAAAACACCGAAATGAGCAGAACTTGTTACCTGTTGTCTCTTTAACTGGTAGATGAATGGCTTCTCATGTGGTGCTTCTGCACTCTGAGCACTCAGTGCTTTATGCAACGTGCTCATTCAGCACTTTTTTTCTACATAAGTGCTTCCTGTCTAACATTCGAACACTTCCCAGCTCCTCGGGAGCATCTTGGCCATCTTTCCACTAAGATGCTAATATTTGTCCTGCAGACCGGATCCAACCACCAACCTTCTGATTAGCAGATGACGCGCTCTACCTCCTGAGCTGCAGCTGCCCCTACACCCTTTACTGACGTGTGTGTATTTGTACAGTACTAATACTGCATCGATTATAGTCGTCTGAGGATTAAGGCTCTTTTGTGATGGGAGCAGAATGTGAATCATTTTCAGGAGAACACGAGCAGATCAAGGTTTTCAAATAGTTAGAGAAATGATCATTGAGCTGTCTACAGGTGCTCTTTCACACGCTGTCATACAGGCGCGTTTTTAACCCCTAACTGCTTTCTATAAACCGGTCACACACATTAACAGTGGATCGGTCGTCGCCTGATTAGCAGGTGACCCGCTCTGAGCTGCAGCCACCCCTAACTCCAGTTACCTGTAACTCCTGATGGAGTGATGTAAAGGTGCTAACACAGGAAGTCTAAATGTAGCCCAACAGAGCTGCTTGCTTTTGTACATTTGATTTTAAATCTCTTAATATTTTTCTTTTAGTTGGTGACAAGGTGCCTGCTGACATCAGAGTGACCTCGATAAAGTCCACCACCCTGCGCGTGGACCAGTCCATTCTCACAGGTATTTATTACATCTCACCAGAAGCTCCTCTCCATGGCTTCCCAGTAACTGGTTGCAACCAAGATTTCCGTTGATGTTTTTCTCCTCACTGTGTTTGCTTTGAAGCACGGTCTGATAATCACCTGCTACACCTCCAACCGTCTCGATTTGTTTTCTGTAGGAGAGTCTGTGTCTGTCATCAAACACACCGACCCTGTTCCTGACCCTCGAGCCGTCAACCAGGACAAAAAGAACATGTTGTTTTCTGTAAGAACCCCCGACTCGTGCTTATCTTCAGCTTTCAAATCAAAAACTCATGTTGTCACAGACAAAGCTACATTAGTCCTTACATTTGGTCACGTAGTCAAAAGCAGTAATGGCAGCTATCACATTCTTTCACTTGTCTCGTGGCCAAACTCGTAGTAATCGGCCATGTTGCTGTTTGTGAGCTGGTGACGGAGTTTGTCTGTTTTCTCCCAGATGACGGCGGATTTGTGCTGACTTCCCTGTGCGTATGTCTCTGTCCTTCTCTCAGGGCACAAACATTGCTGCCGGTCGTGCCATAGGTGTCGTCGTTGCTACGGGTGTCTCGACAGAGATCGGGAAGATCCGTAATCAGATGGCGTCGACGGAGCAAGAGAAGACACCGCTGCAGCAGAAGCTGGACGAGTTTGGCCAGCAGCTCTCAAAGGTCATCTCCCTGATCTGCGTGGCTGTGTGGGTCATCAACATCGGCCACTTCGGAGACCCGGTCCACGGGGGCTCCTGGGTTCGAGGGGCCATCTATTACTTTAAAATTGCCGTGGCCCTGGCAGTGGCCGCCATCCCCGAGGGCCTGCCGGCCGTCATCACCACCTGCCTGGCCCTCGGCACGCGTCGCATGGCTAAGAAGAACGCCATCGTCCGGAGCCTGCCGTCTGTGGAGACCCTGGGCTGTACCTCCGTTATCTGCTCTGACAAGACGGGCACCCTCACCACCAACCAGATGTCTGTGTGCAGAGTAAGTGACAAACAGTCCTCCTGTGCTTCAGGCTTCCCAGGTTTACGCCGAGCATGCTGTCGAATACTGCGGAAGGAAATGAAAATCTTCTGTGACGATATTGCTTCTGACTGAGATTCAACTCAGCCAAAGTAGAGTAATTAATTCCACCTTCTATCATAGTGCCCGGCACTTCTGGGTCTTCCCTCTCAAAAAAAATGTTTTCCAGGTGAATACTTTGGGATTGTTGCTGCCAGTCTGTGCAATCCTGATCTTTTTGTCTCTCTTTCCCCCCTCTGAGGTTTTCTTTTCATGCACGTGGAGCTTAAAGAATGCTGAGAAATCCCTGTGGTGCCGTAATGTTTGCCTCCGTTTGGCAGATTCGAGATAGCAGCTGGCAGGAGCAGCACAGGCTGGCATGACCTAGCAGCACCAGCGCGGGCTGTTAGCGGTTAGCAGTGACGGGTTCCAGAACGTCACCTGAACAAACACAAGGCCCTGAACCTTTCTCTAGCTTTCAGTATACGTGATAAACACTGAAAGATTTTATCCACTGTTCACAATTCACAAGTGCTCGTATGGTGCACAGCCTCACCCTTCCCTTTGTCTGTTAGCGTGTGCGTGTGTGTGTCGCTTGCTAACCGACTTTGCTGTAAGCGCAGAGTAAATACCAGCACTGCTGTTTGACTTGGCTCCTGGTTCGAGCTCTGCACACATGCACACCCTAATCTCAGTTAACACCTCTTGTCCTCACGATCTCCCATCTCACCACAATGATGACCTCGTTAGTCGAGCAGGGCAGCATCAAAACCCTGTTTAGACGAGATATTGTTGGCCGCTTATTGGTTTCCCAAAGAGGAATTGATTGTATTGATCAAAAATTATGCTCTAATTAACCAGTTCCTTTTATATATCTTGGGAAAAAAGCTTAATGGTGTCCTAAGAATAATGCAACAGGCAAATAAGAGCAAAAATTAAGGGAACCCACAGATACTGGTGGATAGTCAGGTTGGACCCACGGAGGTCCACGTCGGGACAAGAAGAGCTTGGCTCTTTATGTTAGATGGAGATGCTATCGATCAACAAGATGAAATGCTGCTCTATAAATATCCCAACAGGATGACTTCCTATAGGCAGGAAATGAAAAAGCAACAGTAGCTGCTGTATAATCGGCGTCTCTGTGAATTCCTTTCGACCTCAAAATGGCTTCAGAGCCGACTCTCTGTTCTTGTCGTACGAACGCTCGCCCCTCCTTTCTCCACGAGTCGACGTGGAGCGTCTGAGTGATTAATGCGTAGCTGCAGGGAGTTCCCTCTGGCAGCAGGGACATGGAGGAGTGATCTCACCACAACCCTGAAATGCTCTCAGGCAGGCAGACGTTGGTAAATATTGACCTTCTGCTTCCACCTATACTCCCCGGCTTGCTGCTCTCAGCTCTCTGCTGTGAGATAAGGAGCATACACGTTTGCGTTGTTGCAAAGATGAATCAAGCTTCCGCTTTGCAGGTTTTTTTTTTTTTTTTTTCTTGCACCACTTGTTTCCTGGTGATAGGTCCGCTTCATATTTAGCTTCACTTTCCCCCTTCGTGGTGCTTGTATGCTGAACCAAGACTGCCTCCGTCTGTTTTTTAATGCTTTCTGTGCGTCACCATTTATACTCTGTTTGCTCAGGCGTATCCATCTGTGCTTATTCCTGTACTGGTCTGCAGCCAGTGGCCCTGATAATCCCATGTGTCTCCCTGGCCTCGGGGGTATCCCCATATCAGCAGGATTTCCAGGGATTCCCCTCTGCATCCTGACGTTATACCTCTGTTTTCCCTCCTCTCTCACACTCTGACCGGCACGCACTAAAAAGCCTTTCACAAATGCACATCAACAGCTGCTCACCATTCATCCCCATGCAAGCTCAGAGGAAATGAGTATGGAAAAAAACGTTTGATAGTGGTGGATCTCACTGTGCCGTGTTTCCTTGGAGACCACAGCGGATCAGATCGTGAGTGAAAACTGACCACGGATGAAAGAGCAACCTCATCTTATTCCTTCGCCTCTGCTTTGTGAAAGTTATTGTGTCGCTCTGTGCTCATTGTTGATTTATTACAGAAGAAAGGAACAAAGTCTGACGGCTGACCTTTGTGAAATAAAGAAGTGAACAGAAGGTCGGCGCTGTTTAAAGGGCATTACCTCCCAAAATGAAATGGAAAATCTTGGAATAACAAGTCCCACTTTTTAAACAACAGTGTTGTATAAACCCGGCTAAAGGTTTTAGCCACTGTAACAGGACAGCTCTGTTATTTGTAATACAACTGTTGGCTCAGGTTACAGAGTGGCCAGATGAATAGGTCCTTCACAGTCACTGCAAAAATGCAGCAGGGCAAAGCAAAAAGGTTCCCTTTACAAACTGTAGTTGGAAGTTTGCAGCCTGCTGTCTGCAGCTTTTAAACCCAGCAACCCTCGTCCTGGTTCCCTCTGATGAGCTTTGTTGCATTTGTGATTGAAACTGTCATAAAAAGGGTTAGGCATTCATTTTTAATGGTTAGGGTGAGGGGCTAGGGAAACCAATATGTCAATGAAGGTCCTCACTAAGATAGCTGAACGGGCGTGTGTGTGTGTTGCTAAAACATCACCGCTTTCTTAAACATCACTGCTAAATGAAGAAAATTTCAAGAGTGTCGACTGGATACAAGGAAAACAAATTAAAAAATATATAAAAATGACAGTTTTGCTCACTGGTTCGAGCTGATCTGACTGAGAAACCGACGCTGCATGCTCCATCACATGATAAAGGTAACGGCCACCCTGCACACAGTCACAGTCACTGAGTGGAGACAAAAAGGAAGCTTTTAATGCTGATATCTGAATCCAAAGTGACAAAGTCCAAAAGTAAACATGAGTCCAGGACAAGTCTTTCCCAGACTGGCTTTTAGAGAGGAGCTGCCCCCTGCTGGCGAGGAGTTTAAAAGAAGGTTAAAGGCAGCTTTGACCAGGGTTACTTTCAGAGCCAAAGAGCTGCATGTAAAGTCTGTGGGCCACTGAGTAAATGTACCACTCTGCTGTCATGGAGACTTTTTATGTGAATAATAGCTTAAAAACTGCATTTTCTGCAAACAACGGCGGTCTCCTCTCAGGTGAAGTCTGCCGCTGATCAAGAGCTCCTTTGACACTAATCGGTGGGTTTAAGTCAGCGACTCGTACACGCTCGCAGTTACAGGAGAATCGAGAGGCAAGAAAAGGACTTTGTTCAGTCTCAAACTAAGTCGAGCTGGGCATGTTGTCCATGCATGTCTTCTCTTTAGAAGTTTTCACAGAATATTGTTAAACGACTTGAGGTCAATGAAAGTCTGTTTGCCTAATGTCTGTCCCATTGAAATGAGCAGCGTGGACACAGTCACTGGAATATGGGCGATGGCGTATCCTGGCCCCTGTTCTCCCTTCTGTTTTTACTGATGCATTAGCATTAGCAGTACATCGTGAACTGCGCCTCCTGGGGGAAGTCTTGTCAACAAAGCAGTCAACAAGTCCTTGAAGTGCTCTGGGAATGCAGCTCTGTCTCCTGCTTTCACTTGACTTCTTTTCCATCAGTTCACTACAGCGTGTTTCGTAACCGGGACCGATGAAGCCAACTGCAACTCCCGTGTTGCTTGCATGTGTAGAGAAACAAAGAAATTGGAGAAAGGAGTGCCCGTACGGTGCAGACGCCGGTATGCAGTAGGGGCTGATGTTTCTGGATCACAGCAACACTTGATAAACAGAACTCCTCGTTTGTGTTTTAGCCTTAAAGACTTCCTGTTTACAGCAAGTATTTACTTTTTACTGCTTTAATATGTTCAGTACGTTTCTGCTTTGCCTTGATGGTGGCTAATTTTAGCCTAATGTACTTTGTAAATGCCATTACTAAGTTACTTCACCAGCACACTTCTCTGTTCTGGCTGCTTTCACACTATAGTCTAATATTTACAGTTATATCCCAGTCGTTAGCAGCCAGCTGCTAATCAAGTGCACTGGATTAGTTGATCAGCAGCTGTGCATCTATAAAAGAAGAAGCTCTGGCAGTTTGCCGGCATGAACCATTTAGGTGTGTGTTAACACAATGCAAACTTCCCAGGAGTTGACGTCCCAGCAAATTCCCAGACCCCACAGTTCTCACTGAAAAAAGCCCAAGAGCTACAGACTCTGCAGGCCTCAGCATGTTAAAGGTTACAACAGTGCAGTCAGAAAAGAGCCTGAACAAGTACGGCTTGGTTGGAAGGGTTTGGAAGCTGGCTCGCTGTAGAAGGAACACGACCGTGCGTCTGATCAAACCGCGAGGCTCCTGGAACAACGTCTGCACATATGAGACCAAAGAGTCTGAACAACCAAACGCAGCATATCAGCACAAACGGCTCAGCAACTGTGCGTGAGACGAGAAACAAATCTGCAACAGAAAAGGAAACGAATCAAAGCGCTGCAATGGTCCACGTCAGGTATGTAATCGGTTCCCAGGTTGCCTCCAATGCATTCATCTCAAACTTCAGTATGAGTCAGGGATCACCTGAGCCACAGCCGACCAATTACAGTTCAGCTACATTTCTTGATTGTGATGCAACTGAAAGGGGCAAAAAGCAGGAGTGTGACTGCTTTGTGCTTTCAGTGTTTTTTTTGTTATTCACATTAAGTCACGTGTTTGTTATTATAGTAAGCTGTTTGACTTAGTTCACTCAGTTCTTACAGTAATCGCCAGCCGGTTTCTCTTGGTCCACAGGACCTCGTCAGTGGGTGGATCCAATTAGCTACTGAAAATATGAAATTTTTTTTTTTTTTTTTACTGCTCCAAAATCTCACACAATTTGAGCGGTCATTATCTTTTACAGCAGTGGACAGCTGCGAAACGAGGAGCAGCCACAGTTGTAACTGGCTAAAGGTCCCACCTCTGTTTGCTTTGGTCTTTTTCTCTCTCCAGATGTTCATCCTAGACAAGGTGGAGGACTCCAGCTGCACCCTGCACGAGTTCTCTATAACTGGTTCTACGTATGCCCCTGAGGGACAAATGTGAGTACCACCATTCTGGATTTATTACTTGTTCTGCCTCTGTGCTTTAATAACTCATTACATGGAAAATGTTTGCTGTTAAGCCTTCCAGATTTTTCATTTTTTTTACCAGCAGATTCTACACTGAATGAAAAACAAGTTAAAGCGTCTCTCTCTCCTTTCCCAGCTCCTCCTTTCTTCTTAACCAGATAAAACATAAATGCAATAAATCGATGTGCTCTGAGATTTGATGCACCGTCAGTTTGCAGGAATAGTTTGAGTAGCTTTGCTTCAGTTGGTGCAGCATAAAAACAGCGAGCAGTCCCAGTTGGTTGTGTTACAGCACATGTGGCTTTAATTATATATGCCCCATAAGTCTCAGTTGTACTTTACTCCCAGTAAGCACCTTAATGATCGACTATTGTTAATGCAAACTTGGACAAACTGAATTTTTGACCCTTTTTGACGTTGCCTGTGACACTTTTGAAATCTCAGAGATGTAAACTGTGCAGCAGTGAAGGCAGGTGGCCTCTGAGCACAAGCGTTCAGCAGACAGGGGCAGGGTGTTGCGGTTCATTGTGTATATACATGCTGTTTGTTTTGCCGTTTGCTGACTACATTGCTGTGACTCTGGATGAACCTACGGTTTCATAACAGCAGAGTGTGGGTTACTGTGTGGGAGCTTCGCTAGCAACGGTTGCAGTCTCTACTGGGAAGAGATCCATGGTTGTCATGCAGTGAGCACACACACACTCAGATACACTCCTTACTGCTGTCCGAGCACGGTTTCTCCATCAGCTGTGGAACGTGAACCCCATTCATGGGTATTCGTGAGATTGCCGTGTGTGCAGTGAAGCGAAGTGTGACGTTTTATGTGTGTGTTGTTCTTTCAGACTCAAAGACAACAAGCCTGTCCAGTGTGGAGACTATGATGGACTTGTGGAGTTGGCCACCGTGTGCTCGATGTGCAATGATTCTTCACTGGACTATAACGAGGTCATTAGCACACACTTTGAACACTTTTAAGCTCCAAACAGATCCATCAGTCTAACTTTCTACGTAGAATTACACGAATGATATTTTCCATAATTATTAGCCCTTAATCACACTCACTGCTTTTTTTTTCTTTTTGTCCAACTGAGCTAATTTTACTCTGGTATGATCTCTTTTCTCTGGTTTGAATTGCTTTTCTCACCTATTTGTCATCACCATGGTATCATGGTAACCATGCTGAGGATAGAGGCCAGGCATGCAGCACTTCTAAACTCCATCGTATCTGCGTCTGTTCTCATAAATGGCTGTTTCTCTGCTAATTTTGTACACTTTGGATAAAGAGTCTGATTGAGCCAAACCAGGAGAGAGACAGGAGAGTTGCAGAGGAGCCGATGCTGGAGGGGAGTGAGGTGTTTAATTCCCGTCTACGGCCAGTCGCACAAGCAAATGATGTGCGATGTGCCGTTACTGCTTCATCTCGACTGCCGGCTTACTGCTGGCGAGGACAAGCCACTTTGCATGCATGACTCAAACGCAATGGTGGAGGTCGTGGCGAATGACTTGCAGATATCCTTTCAGCATGTTTGTCCAGTCAGTCTTGAGCTATTTTGACTCCATGGAAACGAACATGAAGCCAAACAAGTGTCTGCTTCTAAAATAGTTACAAATATTAAACATTTAATGCTTGTAATAAACACAAGTGTACCAAATGTTGAACACTCCAACTTTTTCAGTTTCATTCAGTGCTCTTTTATTCATATCCTAACAACAGCAGTCACCATAAGGTAAAGGCCCTACAATAATACAGAAAACCCAACAATCATATGACCCCCTATGAGCAAGTACTTGGTGACAGTGGGAAGGAAAAACTCCCTTTTAACAGGAAGGAACCTCCAGCAGAACCAGGCTCAGGGAGGGGCGGGGCCAACTCCCGTGACCAGTCAGGGGTTAGGAGAGGGAGACGGGACAAAAACCAGTCCAAGGAAGAGCTGATCAATGTGTTTTGATGAATTTCTTCTCTCTCGCAGGCCAAAGGGGTTTATGAGAAGGTGGGCGAGGCCACAGAAACAGCTCTCACCACCTTGGTCGAGAAGATGAATGTCTTCAAGACGGATCTGTCTGGACTCACCAAGGTGGAGCGTGCCGGTGCCTGCAACTCAGTAAGTTGCCACTGCTGCATGATCCTAGTGTGCATTTAAAGTACTGCTGCATACATGAAGCTAACACGGTGGTTTAATAGTCAGCTGTGTGAAGTCTTGCTGACTTGAGATGAAACAAGTAAAAAGAGGTGAGCTAACCAGACCTCAGCAGGTTTCTCTTCATTTCTGCTTAAAGCTGTTTAAGCTTGACTTCCTACTCAAACTGTAGACCTGATATCAAACTCACAAGCAGTGCGGCTCCTTCCTGCCTCTGTGCAGCTGTTGGCGTGCTCTTATGAACATGTCTGACACGATACAAACTTCATAGGCTTCTTACGGCTCAGTCCATATGCAGTAGGTGATCCAATTAGATTCTGGAGCAGACGTTTGCATGAATTTCCATATTGATGAGGGGACGTGGGTTTGCCAAAAACCTCACACTTTAAGTTAGTCAGTTTTAGGCTGACTCCAGATGTGCAGCATCCAACACTCGGAAAATGTAAAATCTGATTAGTTTTTAGGGACCGTCCTGTTTTATAGTAATAAAGAAGAACAAATATTACCCTTCAAGTAGTATTGACACCACTTTACTTTTTTCAAGGCAGTCAACCCAATTTTTTTCAATTAATTATGTATTCATGTAGAGCTGGGCGATAGAACGATAACGATATGTATCGCGATATAACTTTTACTCGATAGAGAAATTAAGCTATTGCGATAGACCTCGCCGCTCTTGTCCTCTTAAAAAAAAAAAAAAAAAAAAATAAAGGTCAGCCAATCCAAACTAAGTAGCGCAGAGCCGAACCAATCACAGCCGCAGCGTCACGTCGCGTGACTTGTTACGTACAGCACAAGTGCCAAGCCGCACGTGTGTTTGTTTGGGAAGCAGCCAGCAGGTAATGGAGGAAATGAGTGTGCCGACTAGAAAAATCAACCGAGCGTGACCGAAGAGAAAACAGATGATGGTTCCAACGCCGGAGAGATTGTCGAACGGAAGAGCCATAGAAGTTCCGTAGTGTGAAGGTATTTCGGCTATTTCAAGTCTGACAAAAACAGAGTAGCGTGCACTGTAAATTGTGCCGAAAGCAAGTCTGGAAATACAATAAACTGGTGCATGCGTCACACTGTGCGCCACGTTATTGTTTCGGTGAAATGAATTTCTACAATACTGTTAATTCTACTCTCTGCAGTGTTTAAATGCTTACATATACACACAGTTACTGTCCCTCCACACATACGACTCGGTTCTGCTTCTATGCCCCAGCTTTGTTTACTTTTTCCCACCGAGGCTTCTAGACTTCTGATTGGCCAACATTTCTGCACGGTTAGGAATCTAGCGCCACCTGCTGCTTTGGCATGTTCATAGCAGCGTTTTCCTTCATTTCTGCCTTTATGTGTGGACGGGATTATTTTTTTAAAACGAAAACGGAAAATCTCCGTTTTCAAAAACACCCGTGTACGTGTGGACGTAGCCTCAGTCTCTGACTGGAAGCGCTAATTCGTCATTCGGCTTTTGTCAGACTAAAGTAACTGTTAAAACTGTTTGAAAAGCTCAGCTATACAACAAGGAGAGATTGAGAATTTCCTTTTAGTTCTCAGTTTATTTGATATTGACAAAAGTTAGTCAGTTTTGTCTGTTCTTCTGTAAAACAAACTAAGATTTATTTTTAGAATTAATATTTTGTTTCTAAGTGGAATTGACAATTTAGTCTGTTTCGTTTGTTCTATTTTGAAACTTAAACGCTTTAGCGGCTGCCTTTTGTGTAGTTTGCAATATTTGCCTTTATTTATCTGAAAAAGTCTCATGTTCCTTAAGTACATCTACCCTGTTGAACTTATTATGGGAAATAAATATTTAAATAAAAACAAGCTGCTGATTATTTCACATTTTACTTGTGAGCAACGGCACATTTAAATCTTACAAATATAGTTATTTGGCTTATATCGTGATAGATATCATTATCGCCTGAAATGAAAAAAACATATCGTGATATGAAAAAATCTCATATCGCCCAGCTCTATATTCATGTATTGGAGTGCCCAGTGTGAGTCAGACAGGTGAGCAAATCAGTGGACTGGTCTTTAACCTCTAAGACCCGAACTCTTCACAGCATTTTTAATTTATCTTTGATATTTGGGCTGATTTGACCTGATGAATCTAAAAACAAACAATTACAGGAATTTTTTTTTTTTTGCCCAATTTTTGTTTCTAAGAAAAATGAGAGCCACAAATGAGGGTATTTGTTTAAAATTTCAGTAGAACAGTAGCAGTATAACGTCCTCGTAAGTGGATACCAGGCCCTTGTAGAGCAAAATTGAGTATTTGGGTCTAAATGACCAAGAATGTGATGTCCACATATGTGGACGCAGGTCCTAGGAGGTTAAATGTCCAGTCAAAGATTTGTACAGACTTGTGTAATCACACTGCTGCACTGCCTATGAGGAGCCTGCTTATAAGCCTGTGCCACGTCATATATATGATGAACGATGCAGGTTATGGTTAAGTGTCCCACACAAGGACGACCCATTTATTTAAAAAAAAAAAAAAAGCAGATAGTTGATGATCAACAAATGTTTGACTTCAGGGTGTGAGTGTTTGCTTGTGAGTCTAAAAACAGCTTTGCACAAAGCTAGTCTAAACGTAACAACAGCAAACAGCAGAGCTCATTACAGGGTTTTATCTTCCTTTTACCTGTAACTCTGAAACGAGCTGCTGCGCTGTCTTGGTTAGTAGATGGATAAATGTGAACCATTACTTTACAATAGCAGGAATCTGCAGAAACTTTTAGATGAGACGATCTGAACTTTTTCACATATAGAACCAGAGAGCCGAGAAAGAGGCCAGTGTGCCGAACTCTGACAGAGAGAAGCTGCTTGGCACACTCACGGATTTCAACATCGGTCAGCTGTTAGAAGCTCTGTGTGTGTCTGTGTGTGTGTGTGTGTGTGTGTGTGTGTGTCTGCGTGTGTGTGTGTGTGTGTCTGTGTGCGTGTGTGTGTGTGTGTGTGTGTCTGCGTGCGTGTGTGTGTGTGTGTCTGCGTCTGTCTGTCTGTGTGTGTGTGTCTGTGTCTGCGTCTCTGTGTGTGTGTGTCTGTGTGTGTCTGCGTGTGTCTGCGTCTGTCTGTGTGTGTCTGTCTGTCTGTGTGTGTCTGTCTGTCTGCGTGTGTCTGCGTGTGTCTGCGTCTGTCTGTGTGTGTCTGTCTGTCTGCGTGTGTCTGCGTCTGTCTGTGTGTGTCTGTCTGTGTGTGTCTGCGTGTGTCTGCGTCTCTGTGTGTGTCTGCGTGTGTGTGTCTGCGTCTGCGTGTGTGTGCCTGTCTCTGCGTGTGTGTGTGTGTGTCTGCGTGTCTGTCTCTCTGTCTGCGTCTCTGTGTGTGTGTGTCTGTGTGTGTGTGTCTGTGTGTGTGTGTCTGTGTGTGTCTGCGTCTCTGTGTGTGGAGTGAAGCTGTGGAACAGACTAAGTAAAGATATGAAGCAATGTCCAAGCATGGCGCAGTTTAAAAAGCGGTTTAAGGATATGGTTTTTACAGGGTACAGGGAAAAGGTAGAGATTTGATAGGGTGTTCTTGTCTAATATTATCATGTGTGTGCGCATGCACGGGTTTGTTGGTATGGGTGTGTGTGTATATATATGTATGTATGTATGTATGTATGTATATATATGTATGTGTGTGTGTGTGTGTGTATATATATATATATATATATTATATATATATATATATATATGTATATGTATGTGTATATATGTGTGTGTGTATGTGTATATATGTGTGTGTGTATGTATATATATGTGTGTGTATGTATATATATATATAAAAAAAAAAAAATTGTAGGTTGTGTATCCTTCAGGTGTTAATGGGGTTATTGAAAATGTGTATATGTGTGTATATACGTAGGTATGGATAGATAGAAACATATATGTGTATATATTAAAAAAAAATAATAATTACACATAACATATAATGTAATTACAAGGAAGTATTTCTGTAGTCTATTGATACTAGATAGTGGAAAAGGGGTGGGATTAAATAAGCTTATGCTTCTTCCTGCTCCTTTTTGAACATGGACGTTATTTGGAGTTGTGGTTGCTCGTTTTCCTTTTGTTTGCTTTGTTCATTTGTCTCTTTTAATTCTATTTTTTTTTTTTATACTTTTTCAACATGTTCAAAATAAAGATTCAATCAATCAATCAATCATTTTCTTCTGCCATGTCAGCATTTGCCCTCTTTTTCATCTGTCAGGTTATCAAACAGTTGATGAAGAAGGAGTTCACCCTGGAGTTCTCTCGTGACCGCAAGTCCATGTCTGTCTACTGCACCCCTGTCAAGCCCGGGTCCCAGAGCAAGATGTTCATCAAGGCACGGCTGAATAACACGAACTCAAATAATCACAAATTTCATTTCATTTGAACCATTTTTTTAATGTTCTTCTTTTGCCAATTGCATTGTGTCCCCTCAGGGTGCGCCCGAGAGTGTGATAGAGCGGTGCGAGTACGTACGGGTGGGAAACAGAAAAGTGACGCTGACACCAGCCGTGCGCGACCAGCTCATGTCTAAGATCAGAGAATGGGGGACGGGCAAGGACACCCTGCGCTGCCTGGCGCTGGCTACGCACGATACTCCGCCACGCAAGGAAAACATGGAGCTGGAGAATTCCAGCAAGTTTGCAGAATATGAGGTTCGCCACAAGATTTCTCTATCCAAACATCACAGCTTAGAAGTCCTTTTGTTCCCACATTGAATTGAAATAGGCTTTGTTAAGTTTAATGAGACGACTGGGTACTAGTTTGCTTAGTAGTAGTTAGTACTTTCTACACTTTGGTCTTCGCTCCAATAGTTTCTTTGTTCTTTAGGAAGAATTTGGATCGGATGTTTTTTGGCAGCAGTAACAGTAGAAAGCTGTTCCTGATGTGGTCCTGCGTAACCTAACCACCCTGATGCTGTTTGTTTTCCGTGTAGCTGGGGCTCACATTTGTTGGCTGTGTGGGCATGCTCGACCCACCCAGGAAGGAAGTGATCGGTTCAGTGAAACTGTGCAACGAGGCAGGTATCCGTGTTATCATGATCACAGGGGACAACAAGGGCACGGCCGTGGCCATCTGCAGACGGATTGGCATCTTTGAAGAGGACGAGGACGTGACGAGAAAGGCCTATACAGGCCGCGAGTTTGACGATCTACCACAGGAGGTGCAGAGAGACGCCGTCAAACGGGCACGGTGCTTTGCCCGCGTGGAGCCGGCTCACAAGTCCAAGATCGTCGGATACCTGCAGTCGTTTGACGAGATTACAGCCATGGTAAGGAAAACTATCCCCGTACAAGTAACACACCTGCGTGTTCCAGCATCTTCTTCTTTTTGTGGCAGTGCACAGCACTGCTGCCTTTCTCCTTCCTGTAGCCATTCGCTGTTTGAATGACTTGTCAAAGATGTATGAGGAGAAGCCAGTGAGGCATGACATGTTCCAGGTCTCTGTGAGGCTGCTCTCTCAGACGCCGCTATCACGAGCTGTCATCTCTGGTCTGCTCGGCTGCTTCCTATCTGACATGCGTCTCAGAAGAGAAGTTGATCCGCGGGAGGGAAACGACAATATCACCATTTGCCCATCAGTCTGAAGCTGCTTTCAGGCCCTGCCTTGACAGATAAATATCGCTTCTGCACAGCTTTAGTTTAATCCCGTCATGGTGTGAAAAGATAATGAGCCTTTGCACAGTGAGTTAGAGTCGTTGCTTGTTAAACTTGGGGCTCCCGAGCGAGTCATCCTTCATGAAAAATGAGTGTGGGCTCGGTATTTGAGAGTGGACTTGTTCTTTTCTGACACACATGTACTGTCACAGTGTTGGACTCTGAGGGCCAAGTTTCAATGCTCAGCTTATATCTCTAAGTAAGGACCATTTAAGGATAAGCAAGTCTTATTGAGAGACGCTTTTTAATAAACAATACTGTTGACGTTTCCTTTAGTGCCCCCCTGTTCTTTGACACGTAATAATCCAGGTATTTCCTCCTGGTTGCAGACAGGTGATGGTGTGAACGATGCCCCGGCCTTGAAGAAGGCAGAGATCGGCATCGCCATGGGATCCGGTACAGCTGTGGCAAAGTCAGCGTCTGAGATGGTGCTGTCTGACGACAACTTCTCCACCATCGTAGCTGCTGTGGAGGAGGGCAGAGCCATCTACAACAACATGAAGCAGTTCATCAGATACCTCATCTCCTCAAACGTGGGAGAAGTCGTGTGGTGAGACAAGAGCGCCGTGAGACGCAGCTGCCGGGCGAGGACTGTCTTCGTGTGCGGCTGACGTTTGTGGGTCTCTCCTGTGTCTGTCTGCAGCATCTTCCTGACAGCCATCCTGGGTCTGCCTGAGGCTTTGATTCCAGTCCAGCTGCTGTGGGTTAACCTGGTGACTGATGGCCTGCCTGCCACCGCCCTGGGCTTCAACCCCCCAGATTTGGACATCATGGATAAACCACCCCGCAACCCTAAGGAGCCACTCATCTCTGGCTGGCTCTTCTTTAGATACCTGGCCATTGGAGGTATTATTCACTCAGACGTGAATAAATTATTGTGCAGTTGTCACTGTGTGGGGTGGTGCGGTGGTTAGCACTGTCACCTCACAGCAAGAAGGTCTTGGGTTTGAATCCAGTCAGGGTTCTTTTAGTCTCTCGCTGCATGGGTACCGGGTACTCCAGCTTCCCTCCACGGTCCAAAGACATGCCTGAGTTAACATTAACTGGTGATTCTAAATTGTGACTGGTTGACTGTGTCTGTGTGTTAGCCCTGCTGATTGGCTGACAGGGCTGTCTAAAGAGCTTCTGTGCACCTGCGCCCATTTTTAAAAATCTAATAGCAGAACAACTTGATGCATTTTCTAACACTTTATCGATGGTACCTTAGTTAACGTTGATTTTTCACACTATAAGGCGCACTTAAAATCCTTTAATTTTCTCAAAAATCGTCAGTTCAACTTATGTATGAATTCTGGTTGTGCTCATTGACCTTGAACCGGTTGTATGTCATACACTGCGCTCAAAACTCTGTCACAAATGTTTTAGTCCGACTTTGCTAAGCTACGAAGCCGCACCTCTTGACGGATTGTTGGAACATCACGGCTGTAGTCAGGAGCCTTGCAGAGGAATCTGGGTCCTAAACTCCATCTATTTCAGGTCCCAAAGTCAAACGAACACTGCAGCATCACTGAGAGTTAAAAACTGTCTAAATTCTTTCATCTTTAATAAAATGATCAGTGTTGCTGCTTTACCAGGTGTAACAATTAAGTTTAACATCCAGGCATCCATGAAAACAGAATTTATTACACTTAACAGAGTTAGAAGTTAGCAGGAAGTTAGCTCACTAGCTTCCACCTAAACATAATATAGCATGTTCTGACTGAGGGATTTCTGAAACAAATTCAAACGTACAGCTCTGCTGTCACTTCCAACATAAATGAAGACAGAAAACTAAACAGCAGTGACGTTTGTAGGGTTACTGAAGTTGGGCTAGCTGGTATATAATGATGTGCTACGTGATCGCTAGCGACACAGCTATGTTAGCATAAACACAGTGAAGCTGGAGGATGAACGCTAACTTTATTCCACTCGATAAAAGTTAACGTGAAGGTTCCTGATGGTTAGGGACAAATGCAATCGCATGACAGGATGCTGTAAACGGACCAAACTTCAGTCAGGAGAACAACTGAGATAATCCATCCACAATACGAGGTTAGTCATTAATATACTGCAACAACATGGGAATAGAGCCGCTGCAGAGGATTCAGCATTAATGAATCAATGGTACAGAAGTGGAGGAAGCAAGAAGAATGAGTTGAGGAAAGTTTGACTTATCTGACTGTTTGGTTTCGCTTAATGCGCCTTATGGTAGGAAAAATACAGTAACAAGATTTGAGATGTATTTAGTAAAACGGCGACTGTCAGTAGGCCTAGCATCTTTTTTTTTTTTTTTCTAATCAAGCACTCATGTCAGCATGTTTATTTTCCTGAACAGCTTCTCCTTTGTAAGGTTATTACATTTTATTCTTCGCACACTGAATAACTGTAACCTTACACTTTGTCTGTATAATATTAAATTTGTGACTGTGCGTCTATCAATATCTGGTTTTGTCTCACAGGCAAGAAACGGCAGCTCTTGTTTGTGTGTATAAATATAAATGTATGTCTGTGTTGTCTTGCAGGATATGTGGGTCTGGGAACAGTGAGTGCAGCCACATGGTGGTACCTGTTTGATGAGGAGGGCCCACAAGTGTCTTTCTATCAGCTGGTGAGTTGTAAAACAGTTTATCTGACGTAGCTCCTGCCCTAGGAGAACATGAGCTGCATTGTTTCCTGTTATACTGTTTACCCCACCTCTATGCATCCTTTTCATTCGCTGCTATTTGATGCAGTAACGTTTGATGATCCCAGCAGCAGACAGGCATAGAAAGGGAATTAAGATTTCTGTGGATTGATTGCATGCAGAGCTGAAATGAAGCCAGGGTTTGGCAGCTGCCCCCCACCCAATCTGAGCAGAGTCCCATCAAACCAGGTCGCAACACGATGCACGAGCGCACGCTAACTCCGCCTGTCTCTCTCTTCACAGCGACATTTCATGCAGTGCACTGAGGACAACCCCATGTTCAAAGAAATAGACTGCGAGGTGTTTGAATCTCGCTACCCCACAACCATGGCGCTGTCTGTGCTGGTCACCATCGAAATGTTCAACGCGCTCAACAGGTCAGTCGGCTTCAGAGCTGGTGTCAGAGTAAACGAGCCTTAAATGTCACAAACGTCAGAAATTTACTCAAAGAAAGCGACGCTGTCATTCGACGAGACGGAGCTCCCTTTGAGGAAGAACGATCCGTGCCAGAAAGGCCACGGCCGTCGCAAACATCAGCTGTTCACTGTTTGAACGACTGATTTTTGTTTTTATGTCCTCCACCTGAAGAATGTGCTTAAGCGCACATCTTAAGAAGAGAAATTATACTTTATTGAACGGAGCTATGAAGGGTCATTAGCTCTGTTTTGAAAGAAATGTCCAACTCGACGAGGTCTGATCACCACTTCAGATGGAGTCCAAAGATGGTCCAGCTTAACGCCGGCACATCTGTTCATTTTCATGCAGCTTGCTGGAATATTTTCATCAGTTGTTGTTTTGCAACCTGATCCTGAAATGTTAGCATGTTTTCATCTATTCAAACTTCTCCTTACAGTTTGTCTGAGAACCAGTCCCTGCTCAGGATGCCTCCCTGGGTCAATATTTGGTTGCTGGGAGCAATCATCCTCTCCCTCTCCCTCCACTTCTTAATCCTCTACGTCGAGCCTCTGCCAGTGAGTACACAGGACACGCAGCTCTTTGAGCGTTTAAAAAAACCCAAACACTGCATGCTAATAATCCTCAGCACTGTATCGTGGCCCAGATTCACGAGCCGTGTTTTATGAGTCCGATTCTTTTGCCAGTGATGACACAACTTGTCTGTCGTCTGCAAAAAAAGTAGGATGGCCCTGTAGGTGTAATGTAATGCAATGTCATAGCTAGCGTCGTGCAAAAAGCAGATACAGAAATGCTGTGAGTCAGACAGAAGGCGTTACAAAATAAAGGTTTCCATGGCTCCACTGGATTATGTTTTCTTGCAGGCTGATGTCTTTGCATTTTTCAAAATAGTTACAAAATATTAAGCTTGCATGTTAGAAAAGGCTTCTGCTGCAGCTTTGTCATCATCGTCTGATTTCTCTTGTCCTTCAGCTCATCTTCCAGGTGACCCCTCTGCATTGGTCCCAGTGGACTGTGGTCCTGAAGATTTCCTTCCCAGTCATCCTACTGGATGAGGCTTTGAAATATTTATCCAGGAACCATCTGGAAGGTATGTTAAGTCCTACCTGTTTTTAATTTAATAAGCAATTTTTTTCAAATCAATAAACGAATCTAATGATGCTTGTTCTGCTCTTTTTTCCTTCTCTTCTGCATTTCTAAATCAGCCTAAACTCTTTTAATCTCACCTTCTGTAAAAAGGTACCTGACTTTCTTTGTGCTGCTTTCTTCCGTCTCCATTCGAACCTGCCTGCTGTCCGATGGTTACGTGTTCTAAGCCTGTGGGTTTTTGTTTTGGCAGGTGATGAGGAGAAGAAGTATCGGAGGAGATGGCAGCTGAACTAAGACCTCTCCCTCAACACACTCACACAGTTAGACACACAGCTACCCTCTTCCCATTTTTAAGCTAGGAAACGTTTCTCTCCCCTGCCCTCGTTCCCCACTTCTGCATGTCCAACAAACCACCACTAGAAATGAGGGGTGGCTTGCATGAGAATGAGTGTGAGAAAGTGAGAGCGCTTGTGCTCCTGCAAGTAAGTGTGTGTGTGTGTGTGTGTGTGTGTGTGTGTGTGTGGGAGGACACAGACGGATGCAGACCTGTCTTTATAGTTGCAAGAGCAAGAAACAACTGCAGAAAAGAAAAATACAACTGGGCTCTGCTTTTTAAAGGTTTCTGCTCATCTTTTTGTTGTCTGTACAGTACAAACATAGTGGTGGACTTCTGGGGGGAGAGGGGAGGATGGGGGAACAGACATTGATAATACTGGGTGGGGTGGGGGTGGGAGTTGGGGTTTTAAAATCAACACAGAGACTGAAAGAGAGACTGAGAGGAGAAGAACCAGATGGACACACTGACAAAAAAGCAAAAGCATCAAGGAAAGGACGAGGAAGGTGAGAACAGCCTGGAGGCGCTGTGAGGAGAGAGCCACGGTACCCACGCGTGTCCACAGAAGCATCATTATCAGGAGGCGCTGCCCAGGCTTCTGCCATCACACTACTGGCAGTGAATTCCAGCCAGCTCTGGCCTTATCAGCACAACACAACTGTTTCTCTGGCCAGTTTGTCACAGCGCTGCTCCTTCATCACTCTTCTGTCGTTTATGCTCAGTTCCTCTCCTTCGGCCTGTCTCTGCTCTCTCTTTGTCTCTTTCTCGCTCTCTGTGTGAGGAGGCAGCTGTGGGCCCGGGGTCGTGACTGTCGGGCTCTTTGGTGGGGTTGGGGTCGCTCCGCCTAAAGGTGTGAATAGCTTTACGCTGCTTGGCTGCTTCCTTTGGCTCTAAATTCGAGGGGCTGAGGTCGGCTCACACACTGGGCAAAGAAACGAAATTTTAAAAAGTCAAACAGCAACCAAACCAGCAAATCGGTAGAGTAGTTGTGATCCAGCCCACTCAGCTGGCCCTCTTTAGCTTCACTATAATGTCCTTCTGCTTCTTTGCTGCCACTGGAAAATCTCTGCGAGTCATTTCATGTAAAGGTTAAAGGTGGACGGGAAACTGATGCTTCAGGATTCCTGCGTCATGCCTTTAATCCGCTGTGTCACACCCTGAACCAGCGCTGAGGTGTGTGTGCGTTATAGCCTTACTTGAATAAAGTTGTCTAATTTGATGTGATAGGCTTTTTCCCCCCGTCTGAATCGCACAAACGATGTAGTTTAAAGTAAGTTAGAGAAGTAAGTGGCTCGTCCCAGCGTCACGTGGACATTAACAGTGTAGATATTAAGCACATCCATGCCTTACACAGCCCACTGCACCTCCACATTAAACATGTGGTCCCGATGAATGTGTTTGCTGACCTTTAATGAGCTCGTTACCCATCACTACCACTTTGCACTCGCATGGCCGGACCGTGATTCTCACACTGATCATGTGAAGTCTTAAAGACTCTGAATGTGGCGTGTTTTTTGGTTTTCTTGTTCTGCTTTGTGCGCTGCTCCCTCAGCTCCTCCTGCTTTCTCAGTGCTATAGCATTTCATTTGGGTGTTTTATAATTCTTAATAATAATAATGTGTTTGACTGAATGAACCCGCAGGGTTTGGATTGTGTCTTTTAAGTCTTAATTCTGGGTTTTGTGTGGGGCCCTGGTGCTCTGTGGACGGGGTCGGCTGTGTTTTTGGACTCTTATTGCTTCCACATGCTGCAGAGAAGAGTGTGTACACATTTTTAAAAAGTCTTTGAATAGGTGGAATAAAAATGGGAATCTGCACACTGTGTCCCTCATACTTATTAAAGCAATGATATGTTGTGGCTGTTGTGTGTTTAAAGGTAGAGCTGCAGTGATTGGTTAAAAACACTGAAGCACTACAGCCATTAAAAAAACAAACACTTTGAAGTTTAGCTGAGCTCCCCTTCGAGGTCATCTTGTCGCGTACCTCAGTCCCTGGAGGTGCTCTTCTGACCACTTGTATGTGGTCATATACATGTGGTGATGAGAGGTAATGGTGATCATCTGAAGGAGGACGGTAAACAACGTGAGCCGAGGCTCGTGCCGCCGCTCACCTTAGAAGCGTTTTGGCCGTGCAGACTTTGGGAGCTGTCTAAAAACAGCAGCTGGGTAGAAATGAGTGGAGGTAAGCAGGAGCTCTGCAACACAGTCATCTTCTTTGTGTTCTGACCAAACAATTACTATATTCAGCAGACCTGGTATATTAAAAATGGCTTTTACTTGCAGCACGGGACTTAAGGAGGTTTGTTTCATTTTTTAAAATTGAACTGGGAGTTATCAACACAGTGTGCAGATCTTTTCCCCCTTTCTCCTTTTCAGACAGCATTTCAAACCCAGTACTTTTTTCAGTGTGATGCAGGAAATTTACCCTTCAACACAATCCATCCAGTCTGCAGCTGTTGACTGTGGCGTATGCAGCTGTGCTACACACTCGTTTTGTTGCTTGGTGATGGGGTTGTTTTTTTCTCGCTCCAGGGAATAGCTCGCCAAAGTATAGATGTTTCCAGTTTCGCATGCTCTCTGGGGTCATTCTTGGAATGCACAGTAGGAAACTGACTTAAGTAGACGAGGCAAATTAAAACAAATACACTATAAAGTTTGTTAAAACACCTCACCAGTTTTAATATCTATCTATATATATATTAAAAAATAGGTTTTAAGAGCAGACTAGTCCTTTAACTATAGACCAGAAGCTGGATTGTGACTATACTTGACACAAAGCAGCCTTTATGTTAAGGTTGAGCTTTTCATGATTTCCCGTCACCACCGTGTGAATGTGGCACCTCTTTCCAGACCAGCAGATTCCACATCCCTGTCCCAGATCTCCAAGGCTCTGTAACATGCTGGCACGATAGGTCTGCGTAGCCTTGTTATTTACTACTGAATCCTCAACTCTGTACAGACGCTGAGAAAACGATCGCATGGAACCTTGTTACTGTAATAATACCCTATACAGTATATAATATTTAATTTTTTGATAACTTGCATCAATGAAAACCTACTTTCAACAAGAGACGGACTTACAAGACTTCCTGTTTTTCTTTTTCTTTGGAGCACATGGTATCTAAGGACCTTTGTTTCTTGTCTGTTTTGGTTTATTTGTTTCCTTGTAGAATAGAAAGGTTGTTTCTTCATGTTTCCATTTGGTTTTTACACTTGTGGGGTTTTGTGTCTTTTACTGTAGGGAGAAGAATATGATGATATCGTGTTTAGGATAGACGAGATTAACGCTTACGCTAATAAGTGGCAATGACATGGAACATTTCAGTGATAGCTAGCTGGTGTGAGGATACTCAAGAAATTGTGAACGAACAGTGTCTGGTTTACACTGAGCGATAAGCAGTGATGAATCCTGGGATATGAAGTTTCATGAGTGTACATTGAAGGGCTTGGTGGTGATGCAGGCTCTAGAGACCCCTTTCAGATCTGGGACGTTGCAAAGCTCTTCCAGCTTGGTACTCCGAGTCCTCCGCAGTCTGTAAAAGGCTAACCTCCTTTACTAACAGTGAAGGAGCGATCGGGTTGAGATGATAACAGCTGACTAGTGAACGTGCCTCTAGAGCCTGACCTCCACCTCTGAGAAATTAAAAGGATTCTCTGTGTTGCCTTGTTAATATTAATTGTGGACACATAATTTTATAAATGACAAAGACGTGGAAATAAAGATTATTTATCTTGTTATTTATTCAGAGGCTGTGGGTTTTTTGTTTAAATGGATGATTGTCAGTGCAACCCCCCCCCCCAACACTTGGGACAGTCTTCGATATGTAAATGAAAGCACGAGGCAATAATGAGCAGATGATTTGAATACTATAGCTGTGTCTCACTTCAGGGGCTGCATCCTTCGGTGGACCCGGCCCACGTAGACTGTGAAGGCCGGAAGTGCGAGGTTGTGAGATGGGACGGTCTAACCTTCAGGTTTGCGTCACCGCTGTCTCAGTGGAGTTTAATAAACTCAGCCGTCTGCTCCTTGCTATCTAAAATGTAACAGGACACCAGAGTAAACTCTTGACCATCAGATTTACTCAGGAACAAATCAAACACTGAAAAATATCATGTTTGTGCCGGGAGGTCGCTGTTCTCGCCGGCTCCAGTGAGCCTTGAACCCCAGTCAGCTATCGAGCTGGTGGGTAACAGACGTCTCCGAAAACATCGGAGCGCTTTTGCAAATGTGCGATGTCTTGATAAACTGAGCAGATATTTGAAGTTTGCACAGCTACATACTCGCCTGAAAATATCTTAAAAGTTTATTTTGTGGCCCAGAAAGAATAATATTTCAAACTTTTTAGACACGCTCCTCAGCCATTGTTTGAAAAGTATTTTTATATTATTATAAAAATACTATAGTAATTAAATTATTATTCAAAGTATTGAAAAGAGTAATATTACAACTAAGTAGCGGCCGCCATTGTTGGAAACTGGAATTGGCTGCTGTGCTATGAATTCTGGGATATGGTGGTCCACGAAGGACACACCCCACCCATCCTCCAAATCTGGGGAAAGGGAGGACGCATTTGTCTTCGAATTGGGACAGCCTTCGGCGCATCGCTGTGACGTAATCAGCCTTCAAAGGCGGCCCCTGAATTGAGACACAGCCTATGTTTATTTTCAAAATAGTAAAGACAACATAGTTTGAGGCCAACAGGTGCATTTCAGACAAATTAACCACTCGGACGTGCGGAGAATATCCCAACCATGAGACGACCCCCTATCAGCAAGCACCCGGTGACTGTGGGGGGGACCTGCCGCAGAACCAGGATCAGGGAGGGGCGGCCATTGGCTGAGGGACATGGGACAAAAGACACTCTGTGAAAGAGATTAATAACAACTAATGATTAAATGCAGTGTGAAGAATCCTTAATCAGCCACATTATAACAGGATGGGTCAACAACGAGTTTAAATACTTGGGCCTCTGCCAGTGTTCAGAAACGAAGAAGCCTCTTGGACGGGGGTGAAATGTCTTCACAAACCTAAAACAAATCCAGTTGCCTTCAGTCAAGAACGTCGAGAGCACCGTGACCTGGATGGACCCGTACGGTCAATCCTCTGAGTTTACGAGCAGCTCTTTACAAGAGTCGTGATTTATTACAGTTTACTTTTAAACGTGTCACAAAATTAAAAAAGGAAACAAAAAGTATTTATTTCTATCAGGTCATTTCTTATCATAATCTAGGAACATAAGGACAACAGCAGAATGCTGCTTCAATGACACTGGAAACACTGCTCTGATAAAACCGTGTGTGCCCTTCACATGCTTCACATTCTCACACAGTGAAGGAGCTCTGCCAGCAGGAGCGGCTTTCTCTTTGCCGTGAACCGAAAGCTCTTGTTCAGTTCAACTCTGCAAAGATACAGAAGTAGTGGCCATGATTTCAAATGCAGTCAAATCCACTGATTTTATTATTATTGAATTTAAATCAGTGGAATAAAACTGAAGGACAGCTATGGGACCAGCAGGGGGAGATGTTGCATCACATTCCTGGTGCATCTGTGCTGTTTACTAAGTGGGCCTGTCAAGATGCTATATGTAGCTTTTATTCTGCAGCAGCTGCACTGATTGTGTCCTATAACACCAAGGGAGAAAAAAGACCCAACAGGATGAAATTAAGTTTCTCCATCACACTACAGCCTAGCAGCACTTTCCACTTCTCCAGGAAACCTAATCACCTGCACACACGTGCCAGATATGCTTTCTCAGACCTCCCATGTGAGAATGGCACACATGCACGCACATTGTCTCCAGAGGGGGAAGTTCCTCTCAAGGGCCGCAGAGGAGGATCTCATTAGTATTAGGTTGTTTTTTCCAGCAGGACAGATGCAAGACAGCATTCAGCAGAGACGCTGTCCCAGTGAAAGGCAAGTAAACACACAGGCCAAAGATAGGAGTTGGGAAAACTAATGGAAAGACTGCAAATTTTTAGAGCTGATAGCAAAAGGTGTTTGAGGAGAATTGTTGCGTTTGCTTAAAGTGAATCCTGCCAGGATCCTGTTGCTTTCATATCAGCAGGAAGAGAATGTCCGAACTGTGGTTTAAGACGTCCTGTGAGACGAGACCACAGCGTTATTGCTCTGAAAACACACACCTCTGCTTTCATTCTACATGTCGGCATGAAAACTGAATAAAATGAATGTCTATGAAAGAAAAAGCAGGTGAAATAACAGCACCCCTGAGGCTAACTTGTAAAGCATCAGCAGAAAGAAGGATGAAATTAAATATTATTCTACTTCAATGTCCAACTGACTCACACACTTTTTTCTTTTTTGTGTGAAGCTGTTTCCAACGATTATGTCTTTGTGAAAAAGACCATATTTGTTAAAATGCAACCATGCAAGACAAGAAAAAATAAATAAATCGCTAAGGCTAAACAAGCTCCGACTCAAGCAGGGATCCCTGACCTTTGATAATGATCTGGTCATGCCACATGCCTTCTTTGAACTCGTTTCATACGCTCAGTCCTGTTATGCACATACAAGGCTGTGCTGCGGCCGATTTGCACCATGACTCATTTGAAAACAAGCAGATGCTGCTCACAGTCCAGCAGGCTCTAAAAACAGGAATGGCTGGGAAAGACTTGAAATTTGAGGAGCGATTGCGCTGCGAGGACATTGTGCCCCTTATCCCATGGTGTCAGCCCGTGTTGTGCTGTGAGGCTGGAGCTGTTGCCAAGAAAGAGCTCAGAGGCTGTGGCACATGTGCACCACTTACTGCAGCTTTACAACTCAGAAGCCTCCAATGTACTGTACGATACAGCCGGCTGCAGTTTAAGATCGTTTAAGATTCTGCACTGAAAACATAAGAGATTGGAAAATGAACTGACAATTAATATCTGTTTAGTTTTAATAGTTCCAGCTTCTCAGGTGTAACAATTTGTGGCTTTTAATTGAAACTATTTTAAAATAATAATAATTAAATCATTTATTAACTAACGAATTAATAATAATTATTTTTATTTGGCTTTTATTTGGCTTTTATTTATGTCTTATGTGATAGTATTATTTATGTACAGTACTGTGTGTCAGCTGTTTGTTTTTAAAGTGCTTTATAAATAAAGATGATGATGATGAAAAACATATGGTGTTGATTTTACTTTAGCCCTCTAACACTGTCTGACTCCATGCATTTATATTACCTGCAGTAAATCCCATCAATCACTGAACTAACCAATTCATGTATAAAATAGCTAAAAGTTTTGATTTATTCTCATCGTGCAAAAATGAATTCTTAACTACACGTTAAGCTTCTGTGCTAGTGTGACGTTCATATTTATAGTGTGGATTTTATTTAGGTTTAGCATTTACTATCTTATACATGTAAGTAACATTTATTTTTATAGCAATTTTCTAGATGAGGCTCACAAAGTGCTTCACCACAGTCGACCAATAAAAACACAAATATTAAAAGGAAACAGTATCCACTAGTCAAAAGTGAGCCTGTGCGAATAAAGCTTGAGCTGCTCACAGGTCTCATAGTGCGGACACCATCATCACACACACTTTCTCCTTTAGTTTTCAGCCAGTGAACAGAGAACAACAGCTGGTTTGGTCAAAAGATTTCAGTGACCTGCATGTTAGCTGTGGCTCTAAGACACAGGTGTCCAACTGCAGGCCTCGAGGGCCAGAGTCCTGCAGGTTTTAGACGTGTCCTTGATCCAACACAGCTGATTTAAATGGCTAAATTGCCTCCTCAACATGTCTTGAAGTTCTCCAGAGGTCTGGTAATAAACTAATCATTTGATTCAGGTGTGTTGACCCAGGGTGAGATCTAAAACCTGCAGGACACCGGCCCTCGAGGCCTGGAGTTGGACACCCCCGGTCTAAGAGTTTGCTATAGTGTAAGCAGGTGTTTGACCGATCAGAGCCCTGAAAGTGATCACCAAGATGTTAAACTGAAGTCTGAACTTCATGGGAACAGATGTGCAAAGATGACAAAAAAGGTGTCAGATGAGAACACTTAGTAAGCAGCCCCACAGCTGTAACTTGGACCAAAAACGCCTTACAGTGACTTACAGTAGTCTGACTGTGTGAAACAAAGGCCAGCATTCGACTGAGGCGGGTAACATTTCCTAAATGAAACAACTATTAAAATATCTTTATCAAAACGAAGAGCCTGGTCAAATGTATGTGCCGACTGCAAATACAGATTTTGCAAATTCAGGACATGTGACTCTGCTACATGTGAGCTCAGTTAACCCTGGGATTATTGCCACTGACACTGGAGAGAGATGGGATACGCCCAGAAAGTCCATCATGAGGATTGCGATCCCAAAGAATGACTCGCATCCACCCGGGCCTGCATGTTGTTAATCTGCTGTGATCCATCTTCATGCTTGCTGCAGATGTTTAAATCACAATCATTAATTGTGCCGTGCACATCTCGTGAGACTGTAGTCAGCCATGACGGCGTGCAGCGTCTTCCATCGCTGCTGTCACACAACTCGGACACATCTGGTGATGTGTGAAGACAAACACAGAGGTGATGTTTGTACTGTGTGTTCATCTATTAGTAGGTAGTTAGCAGAAACAGCTGACTTTAAGCTGCCTGATGGAGTGTCTTCATGAAGAATTTTTATTGATGATATGAAATGAAAGTGTGAAGTTGGCGCCAGCACTTGTTTGAAATCGCACCTCCTGATGCCAAACTACATCACACAGATTCCTACTGCAGACTGCAGTAAACTAAACAT